CTTCCTTCCCCGTCTAAACTCCCGTACTCCACTGAGCAGCTATTTTGTCTTCAATTTCTGACCTCCCTACCATCCATCCACCTGGGCAAGGAGCTCAGTCACTTTTGAGTCAAACCTCTTGACTGTGAGCTCCAGCTACTCAAGGGCACACATTTTCCATAATGAAAAGATTGAAAAGGTTATAAACTGGATCTTTCCCATCCTTGCATCATTCTCACCAGCAGGCACACCACATTTAACATTATCTCTGCTTTTGTATTCACATAATGAAAATGAATTTAACCTTCTGTTTAAAAGAAGTATGAAAATAATAAAAATGGGAGTTCATAACCCACTTAAATCAAACTGTGAAATATGATATATCAAGAACTATGTAATGTTTTGAACAACCCACAATAAAAAAAATTTAAAAAAAGAAAAAAAAATAATAATAATGTAAAGTAACTATTTTTCTAGGGTTTTACTTCTATCTGTATTTGCCAATATCCTTATTCTTTAAGTTAGGAAAACATAATAGATATTGTTAACTAAAAAGTAAGAGACAATTGTCCTTTTGAATATATGGAAAAATCTTCATAATATTAAAACACATCCTGTCACTTCTAAGAACGGCTATATCTTCTGGCACAGTAAATGGATGACATACTTTTGAAGTTGATAGAGAATGATCAGAACTTCTGATTGGATACTCCACAATTCACAATGGCAACAGCTAAGGTCTCCTAGGGAGGCAATAAGTCATTCATTTGTTGGAACAATAACAACAACAATAAAAATCCTTCAGTGTCAGGAGAAAGAATTCTTCATTTTTCAGGCATGCCTAAGGCAAAAGAGGCTTTTGTTTCTTTTTTGTTTTGTTTTGTTTTTCTTTCTAATCAAAGGTTAAATGATGCACACATAGAGAGTATCCTAAATTTAAATTGAACATTGTGCTGATTAAACCACTTTTTTTTTCTTTGATGCTACCCGACTTCTGATTTAATAAATTGTGTGTCTGTATGTTTGCGATTCTCTCACAAATTAAAAAGAACTTGGAAGATGGCTTTAAAGTATTCTAGCAACTCAACCCACTATTTCCTCCTTTAACCTTCTCTGCAAAAGAAGTTGAATCCCAGGAGTATTTTTAAATTTAAGAGGGCAATGGAGGGTGACAGAACAATTGGCAGTCAGGCTGTTATAGTTCTCTATTAATCAGGGACTATCTTATTCCCCTCTTTCAGTTCAAGGCGCGTACACACCTACAGAGTCTGTGAAAAGTCAAGGCTCCAGTGACTCAGAAAACACTACAGGTCCTGATGGTAAGTTTCTGAGCTTTCTGAGCTCAGATTATACATGTGGTATGCTTTCTGTGTGATCTGGGATTAAGGGAGCTCTCTGTTCTATGAATCAACATATTCAATGAGAACAAAGTAAATTTCAAAAGCCATATATTACTAGAAAATAATAAAAAATAATGGCAGCCCCCTTTTTTCTTTTTACCACTAACTGTTTTACAACAGCACATGACTTGGTTTAAACATACCTTGCAATACTGAGGCCACCAGTGGGTAATGCCACAGCTGGACCCGGTCCTTCATGGAAACATCACTCACTTCTGTAGAAGGTGCTTGCTTTGTAGTTACCCAGGCCTCACTTGGCATCCAGATGAGCCCTTGAGCTTATCCAGATGAGCTCTTGGACCATCCCTGTTAAACTCACTATATCACAACAGATTCCTTTGCCAAAAACACAGTGACTCTTTAAGGGCACCTTAAAAATTTACAAAAACCATCCTTTATTCGCATGTAGTTTTGAAGGCATCTGTGTTGATCCGTATTTTGTCACTGCGACAAACACCTGATATGAGCAACCTCGAGGAGGAAAGATTTATTTTGGTCATGGTTTCAGAGGTTTTAGTCTTTGGCTGGCTGGTTCCATTGCTTTGGGCCCAAGGTAAGGAAGAGCATCCTGGCAGAAACGCATTGTGAAGGAATGCTGTTCAGCTCATGGCAGCTGGAAAACAAAGTGAAAGGAAGAGATCTGTACAAAATATAGTCCCTAAGGGGCATGCCCCTAATAGCCTACTTCCTCCAACAGTGCCCTATCTCCCTGTGGTTTCCGCCACCTCCCAGTAGTTCATTCAGCTATGGATGGATTACTCCGCTGATGAGAATAACCTTCATGATTCAATCGCTTTCCAAAAAATTCACCTCTAAACATTGCTCTGTTGGGGACCAATGCATGTGTCACTGCAGGGACACTTCATATCCAAACCACAATCACATCTAAAGATTCTGAGCCCAGATACACCCCTACAGCCCACCATTCCACTCTCAATTCCTCTGAGATAACTTTTTTAGATTCCACATGAGTGAGATCATGTGGAACTTGTCTTTCTGTTCCTGGCTTATTTCACTTTGATGTAATGGTCTCCATTTTATACACGGTGTCACAAATGACAGGGTTTCATTCTTTTTTATGGCTGAGTAGTATCCTGTTGTGTACACATATCGCATTTTCATCAGATGATGGACACTTCTATTTCTTAGCTATTGTAAATAGTGTTGTAATGAACATGAAAGTACAGATGTCTCTTTTTAAAAAAATTTTTTGGTCATTATAGATGGACAGAATGCCTTTGTTTATTTTTATGTGGTGCTGAGGATTGAATCCAGTGCCTCATACCAGCTAGGCCAACACTCTGTCACTAAGCTATAGCCCCCGCCCAAAGATGTCTCTTTAACCTACAAATTTGATTTCCTTTGAATATATACCCAGTAGTGAGATTGCTGGATCATATGGTAGTTCTATCTTAAAATATTTTAGGAACTTCCATACTGGTTTTCATAATGGCTATACTAATTTATATTCCCACCAACGTTGTGCAGGGGTTTCCTCTTCTCCACATCCTCTCCAGAATTTGTTATCCTTTAGATAACATCTATTCTTACTAGGGTGAGGTGATATCTCATTGTGGTTTTTATTTGTATTTTCCTGATTATTAACGATATTGAACATTTTTCGTATATCTGTTGGCCATGTGTGTCTTCTTTTGAGAAATGTCCATTTATGCCCATTTCTCATCAGTTTTGTTTTGCTGTTGAGTTTTTGGAGTTCCTTCTATATTGTAGATATCAATCCTTTGTCAGATCTATACTTTGTAAATATTTTTGCCTATCTGCAGGCTGTTTCTACACTGTTACATTTTCAAATGATTTGTGTAGCTGGTAACAGGTATGATTTTCTTCTTCTGCATGTGGATATCCAATTTCCCCAGCACCATTTATTAAAAAGACTATGCTTTTGTGCAATGCATTTCTTAGCACATTTATCAAAAATCAGTTGGCTGTGGGTATGTGGATACCTTACTTCTGGGCTCTCTAGTCTATTTCATTGTTCTGTGAGTCTGTTTTTATGTCCAAACCACGCTATTTTGATTTACAACTGTGTTGTAGTGTATTTTTAAATCGGGTAGTATAGTACCTTCTACTTTGTTCCTTTTGCTCAGGATAGATTTAGTTATTTGGGGACTTTAGTGTCTCCATATAATTGTTTCTCATTCTGTGAGGAACATCGTTGATATTTTGACAAGTGATTAAATTGAATCTTAAAACCACTTGGGGTAGTATGGACATTTTAACAATATTGTTTCTTCTAATCCATGAATACAGAATGTCTTTCTACTTTTTGGTGTCCTCTTCAATTACTTTCATCAATATTTTTAGATTTTTTTCATTGTATATATCTTTCACCTATTTGGTTAAATTTGTTCCTAGGTATTTTATTTCTATAGCTATTATAAATGGGATTGCTTTCTATCTCAGATTATTTGCTGCTGGTGAACAGCAATACTACTAATTTTTATATGTTGATTTTTATATCCTGAAATATTGCTTAGTTACTTCTAATAGCTTTTGGGTATGTGTTTGGAGTTTTATGTTTTATCTGTAAACAGTGACAATTTCATGGCTTTTCCAGTTTGGATACCCTTCATTTCTTCCTCTTGCTTGACTGCTCTGACTTCCAGAATTACGTTGAATGAAAGTGATGGAAGTGAATATTCTTGTCTTGTTCCAGATTTTACATAGAAAGCTCTCAGGATTTCCCAATTCAATATAATGTTGGCCATTGGCTTAATAGAAATGGTCATTATTTTGTTGAGGTATGTTCCTTGCCTATATAATTTGTTCAGCATTTTTAGCACAAAAGAATTTTGAATTTTATCCAATGTCTTTCCTGCATCTATTGAAATTATAGTTTTTGTCTTTCATTCTTTTGACATGGTGTATTACATTTTTTGATATGCACATATTGGACCTCTTTCCCTCTCAATCCCACTTGATGGGGGTGAAAAATCTCTTTAATGTGCTACTGTTTTCAGTTTGCTAGATTTTGTTGAGGATTTAACATCTATGTTTTTCAAGGATATTAACCTGTGGGGGTTTTTTTCTTCTTTTATTGTTGTTGTTGTATCTTCATCTGTTTTGGCATTAGGGTAATGCTGGCCTCGTAGATTGTGTTTAAAAGAATTACTTCCTCTTTTTTGGAATAACTTAAAGAGAAATGGTATTAGTTCTTCTTTAAATGTTTTGTAGAATTGAGTAGTGAAGCCATCTGGTCCTGGGCTTTTCTGGATAGGAGCCCTGGTTTTTTTGTTTTTGTTTTTTAATTAATGATTCAATCTTTACTTATTATTGGTTCTGTCACATTTTTCCATGATCAAATTTGGCATATATTTCATCATTTCTAATGCTCTTTTTTTATTTTTCTGGTATTACATATAATGTCTACCTATAAAGTCTTGAGTTTATGAGTCTTTTTCTTTTCTTAGTCTAGCTGATAATTTGTCTATTTTGTTGCTTTTCAAAGAATCAGCTCTTGATTTTGGTCTCCATTTATTTCTACTCTGATCATTATTTCTTTCTTCTAATATTGGGTTTGATTTGCTTTATCTTGAGGGATGAGAAAATAAGAATAAATGGTTATTTGAGAAATTTCTACTTTTTTTTGACAGCATTGACTGATCTAATGTTTCCTCTTAGTACTACTTTTGCTGAGTTCCACAGGTTTGGGTATTTTGTGTCTCCATTTTCATTTAAGAAATTTAAAAATTTCCTTCCTGATTTCCTTGTTCTACTGGTTGTAAGTTGTTTGATTTCCATGTATTTTTTTTTAATTTTCAGTCACTCAATATGATGAGAACTTGTTTTGTGGCCTATCATATCTGTCTTGGAGAATGTTCCATGTGCTGTTGAGAAAAAAAAAATGTATATTTGGCAGCCCTTGGACAGAACGTTCTGTAGATGTCTGTTAGGGCTGCTTGTCCTAGGGTGTGATTTAACTGTTGATTTTCAGTCTAGATGATGTGTCCATCACTGGAAAGGGTTTTAAGAGCACCCACATATTATTACGTAATACAATGACGTATAAAAGGAAAATGTAATATTGAGTTTTGAATAAACTTTCTACTCTTTTGGCATTCTCAAGTCTTTCTTAAACCCCCAGTATTTGCTCTTTCAATAACCCATTTTTTCTCCTCCCACTGTATTTTCAAATAGCTTGTCTTTAAACTTTCTTCTATCCTATTTTTAATTTTTATAGTTCATGAATTTTTTAAAAAGTGTTTACATCTCTTTAAACTGTTGAAGTAGTGAGATGTTCTCTTCAAGTCCATCAAGTTTCCTTAAAACAGCTCTTTTAACTTCTAAGAGATCTCCCATACTGTGTACTACCTGGTTAGTTTCTGAAACCTTATTTTGAGTATTAAGTGAGGTCACAGTTTCCTGAAAAGTTCTTGATTCTTGTTGGCATGAGACATCGTCTAGGCATTAAAGGATTGGGTATTTATTATGTTCTTCCCAATCTCAGTTTGTGCTCATCCCAGTTCTAATCAGGATGGCTTGTTTCTATCAGATATTTTTCTGAGCCTATAGTTGCCAGCTCACCCAGTTTCAGATTTGATGGGAGTTTTCTATTCATGTGTTGTCACTGTTTCAGGACTAGAGAGTAATCCAAGCCCAGGTTTGTCCCAAATACACTGTTGGTATACTTTAAAGAAACAAACTAGAATATCTAGAAAGAGTGATGTATCCTCACAAGGCTTTACCAGCCAAAGTAGTCTCAGATGCCTTCTTCATAGTTGCCAACCTGTGGTGGGGCACTACATGATTCAGCCCAACTCTGGGAAGTATCACCATGGATGGACCAGCCCCCAGCCCCTCTATCACACCTGTGGCCACCAAGCTCTGTCACACCCTGAGGATATAGTCTGCCAAGACCAGTGCAACACTGGGGGAGGTCCAAGGCCCACACTATGTGCTGCCTATCACATAGTGACCCAAGATTGTGTAAATAGAAGTCTGATAGACTGGAGCTATATGTCTTCCCTTGGCACTAGAGCTATTTCAGAGGCTGGGTATACTGGCACACTTGTAGATTTCATCACCATAGTCCAGCACTAAGTCCCAGGGAAACATCTTATGCTTACTAACTAGTACTAACCCGGAAAATGCCATTTTGCATCTCACTGTGCTGTGCAAGGCTGCATAGCAATGGTGAATTCAGTGCTTTGGCTACCTGGCTGATGCTAAGCCGAGCTGTGCTTGATTCTGTTTCAAGGACATGCAGAGTCTCAGGTGCATTAGGGTAGGGTCCACATCACACCTGGCAGTAATGCAGTTCAAAATGAGCCTATCCTTCTGAAGTGTAGGTCTTTACCTGGTGCCGTGGAAGTGTCAGAGCTCTGTAAGCATTGGCTTGGTCATAGCTGTGTTGACCAAGATTGGGGGATGGATGGTAGGGAGAGTCTCTTGGTTACCAATGCAGGTGCTAAATCTGGGTTGCACCTGAGTCTCCCACCTTCAAGGACCTGGAGAGTCTACTAGGGAGTCCTTTACCAGCATTGTGCTGGCCTTGACAGGTTATGTACTCAGGATATGAGAAAATGCTTAGGTTTGGGGGAGGGTGCCACAGGCAACTCTTCTTGCCTTTTTCATTGTGTTTAAGTAAAAGCAGCCACTGTGGTCTCATCTCTCATCTGATTTCCTTAGTTCCTGTGAAGGCAGTTTAGTGTTTGAATGAATGTCCATCCTGAAGGATTTTACTCAGTTACCATCTTGCTTTGAGGTGTTTTGTTTTATTTTTAAGCTAAAGAAAAGTAAATTACTTTGTCATTCAGCCACCACTGGCTGAATTTTTCCCAAAGTAGTTTTAAATAAAATTTCTTATTGCAGGTATCTCCCACATAGTCCTACCTTAATTATAACCTCTTCTATACAAACTGATATTTTACTTATTTGAGCATGAAATGCTTTTTTATAGTGTTATGGTTTAAAGTATCTCCCAATACATTCCCATGTTAGGGACACGATATCCAATGTAGCCATATTCCAAAGTGAAACGATTATAACCTCATTGTAATTAAACGGATTAAGCCATTTGATGGATTAATAACTTGGATGGTTTGAGTGGGTGGTCATTATAGGCAGTAGAGTGTGGCAGGAGGAAGTAGGTCACTGGGGGTGTGCCTTGGAGACTATATTTTGATCCTGGCTCCTTGTGCATGCTCTGCTTCCTGCCTGCCTTGAGTGGAGCAGCTGTCCTCTGCCATGCCTTACCTTGGGCCCAGAGCAATGGAGTTGGCCAACCATGCATGAGCCTAAAATAAACATTTTTCTCCTCAAACTCATTCTTGTTAGCTTTTCATTGTTGTCACCAAAATACTAACGTGCATAGTAACATTAAAAGTGTCCACTGGGAGAGAGAACAGCAAACAAATGCTCCCTTTTATTTTTATCCTGTACTTTGCCACACTGTGGTGGGTAGACTTCCAGTGACCTTGTCTACCAGGCTGAACAGTGCAGGAATGATGTTCTTTACACCGACAAAGTTGCTAAACCTGATCAGTTTACATGTGGAAATAAGCGTACACATTGTTAGAAACCCAGGACAGTTTACAGGTGATAACTTGGGAGAGCTGAATGAGAGACCATAGATGCCCTTTCAAGCATCTTTGGAGTGGTGTGAAACCGGCATCTGACATTATTTTATTCAAGCTTTCATGTCTGAAAAAAAGATTTAGGTTGTTCGATTTTGTACAAATAAATCACCACCTCAATGAGAAACAAATGGAAGTTACTTATTCAGAGGTTACTATAGTGAGGGTGTCAGTCATTGTCACTTGTGTTTGGAGGTAGTTGGTACGGGAAATCTGGAAACCGTTACCTAAAGTGGGGCATCTTAGGTTTTTAATTCAGAGGTCTTTCCCTGGTTGGTTCCAAGTTGAAAGCAGGTACAGAAAATATGGAAGCTGATGATCACTGACCAAGTCCAGTGTATTCTGAGCCAATTACCAGAGACTGTGGTTTGGTTGCCCAGATGGGTTGCTATTGAGGTTTTAAGTAGAGTTCTACTGCTAGATTATCTGGCCACTGTCCAGTCTCAGCTTACAGAATGTGCTTGGATGCTGTAACAATATCAATCTCATTAAACCTGCTGACCCTTGGAAAGTCTGAGTGACTGCTTTTAGCTACAGGAGAAAGGCAGTAATTACACACTCTATTTTTATGCAAATGCTTACATAGAATACACAGTCAAATGAAAGCATACTTTTCCAGAGCTGTGTGATCTGGTTAGGTTTTTTTTTTTTTTCCATAGTGTTTGCTGCTGCATCCATTGGCAAGCTTGCAGAGTCTATTTTGAATTCTGAAATTGAAAATGTGGCAAACCAAACAGGTCTATTGACAGTGCCATTTTGAAGGGAGCTGCTTAATTTTCTGCATCTTAGTGATCTGTTTTGCTTTGTTTTCTCTTTATTTTCTTAGGTATCTATTAAGGCCTTTGAATTTATTTCTATAAGGATGGTAATATATACCCAAATTGTCAAACCAAAATCTAGTATGAAGTGATAGCTCAGCTTCTATGCCCTTCCCTGCCCATGAAAATATTATACAAGGATGGATTCAAACACTCAAATGAATAGAAACAAACTGAAAAAAAAGGTATAAGACAAAAAAATCAGTAATGTTGTACTAGCTTTCTGTTGCCATGACAAAATACTTGAGAAAATAAACTTACAGGTTTATTTTGGCAAATGATTTCAATCTGAGGTTTGCTGGTTCCATTGCTTTGTGCCTGAGATAAGGTAAAATGGTAACCAGGAAGCCGAGCAAGTGTCCGGGGACAAAACATGCCCCCAATGACTTGCTTCTTCTAACTGGGCCCTATCACTAGATCCAAAACATAACTGTGTTTAAGAGATTTGGGCTTAATAAATATTTGACTTTTTTGTTTTCCTTTCTGGTTACAGTTGAAATGAACAGTCAGGTTGACAATGTAAATGACCCAACAGAGAGTCAGCAAGAAGATTTCCAATAGGTAAGATGCCCCTGTGGTTGGATTTTTCAATTCGTTAACCAGGCAAAAGGAATTGTTTGCCAATGACACATGGATTTCCCTCAGTTTTGCCAAGTACCATCACTTGACTTGGACTTTTAAAATATTTAAATTCCACTGTGTAGGGTGAATAAAAACTTATTATAATTCTCTAGAAACTTGTTATCTTTAGGGGAAAAGATAATTCACAGCATACTTAAAATCATGAAAAAAAAATATTCTTTGACAAAATGAGAAAAACATTTTCTTCCATCTTATCCCCTGGCCTCCTTGGAGTAATCAAATTATTTCAGCAATCCTAAGCTGATTCCAAAGCATTGCCTTTCTAGAGCTGTCTGCTAAGTTGTTTGGTATCTTTTTTGTTGTTGTTTTAGTTGTCGATGGATCTTTCTTTATGCTCAGTGCAGAGAATCGAACCCTGTGTTTCACACAGGCCAGGCAAGCGCTCTACTAGACACTGAGCTACACCCCAGCCCAATGTCTTTGCCCTGTGGAATGTATAAAGACCTAGGAGTTTGTGTGGACAGAAGCAAGCCTGCTGTAGGTCCTGGCTACCTGGGGACACAGGCGTGCAGTCAAAGGCTTGTCCGGTTGAATAGGCCTAAGGGAACTCTCCAGGGAAACTAGAAGTCTAGACAAAACCAAGTTGAAGTGTTTTTGCAGACAAACATTCTAAGTCTCAACAGACACTGAGGTATATCTAGAATGATGAATGATCTATTACTCTTTTTCACATCTTCAGAGGGCTATTGAGAAGAATTAAAATAAAGCAGTCTCACTCTGCAACTTCTCCAATTCATAGCTTAAAATATTTAACTATTTGAATTATGGGTCATTGAGACACAAATCTTGTTGATACAGCCGGCTATACTCTCCCACACTGCACCAGACTTATGCTCCAGTATCATGGTAGAATACATAAAATTCAAGAATTATCTGTCCTTCCCAGAGCTGTCTTGAATTTCAAACAAAATTAAATATAATGGCATTGGTATGATGCATGAGTAACACAGGACTACTAAAAATACACAAACATGTTCTATTAACATTTCTTGTCTAGTTCATGTATTTTAAATAGCCTGTGAAACTACAGAAATAATATAGCTGAGAAGCCTCCATTAAAAACTAATGAAAGTGAGAATAAATCTGAGCAATTTACGTGCAAATTTCTCAGTGTTTCCTGACCTTTCACCCTTTTGCTGCTAACTAACAACTTAAAAGGGATAAATCTAGATCTTATAATGTTCCTGTGTTATCAATATCCAGGTAAAGTACCAGGATATATTTATTTTCCTTAATGTGAAAATGATATTTTCCTTTATCATAAACATGAGTCCATGCATTAACCCAAATGAATAAGTTGTCAAAACAAAGTCTTAAATGAGTTTAAGGATGTTGAAATCCAGGAAATAGAAGAGACTTACATAGAGGTCACTTGGGTGATGAACAGAAGTTTAAATACTCTCTATTCAAAATTATTTCATACTGTATTACCCCCTAGTGACTTTCTGAACATAGTTGTCATAGTGGTAGGATTTTTTCCCTTACCTTTTCCTCATGACTTCATGTATTATCTACAGTAAGCATGATTTTGCTTCTATATATGCAGACACATAGCTCAACGGCGTTTTTTTTTTTTTTTAAGATTCATAGGCCACCAGAGAAGATGTTGGTTCTTGATAGAGATGACTAACCTAAGACCTCCAATTCTTACCTTAAAAAGTTGCTGTTTTACCTGCTTTCATATGCTGAGTCACTGTTGTAACACTGGTTTTCTGAGCTCAGTGCTTGCTTCCACTTTGCCAGTATCAGATAAAATTTTTAATCCCAATTGTCTAGTACAGTTGATTCTGGATCTGGGGTTTCTGCAGAGTCAATGAACCACAGATCAAAAATATTCTTAAAAAATAATATCTGGAAAAAATGACTTAATAAGGGAATTCTTTTAAAAGACTAATAAATTAATTTTGTTATTTAATAATAATATCTGTACTTAACATGGAGACTCCTTTTGTCATTATTTCCTAAACAGGGCAGTGTAATAGCTATTCACATAGTTTCTACTGCATTAGCTATCAAAAAAATCTAGAGATGATTTAAAATATACAAAACAAATGTACATATAGATACTGTACCATTTTATTTGAGGGACTTAGAATATCCAGATTTGGATATCCTTGTGGGTATCCATAACCAATCCATCCTGGATACTGAGGGACCACTGTACAAATAAATGTCTTTTTCACTCCCTCCACAACTTTCTTCAGCTTGGTACACTTTGTAATATCTATGCCCTTTTGGTCACAATCTAGGAGAAGGAAAAAAAAATGCCCTTATCTTAAGAGTAGATATTGTTTACTTTGGATCAAATAATGTATTTAGAACATGCATTTTATTCTATTGTTCCCCAGAATGCAGTTTTGGGACCTTGCACATGGTTGTCACCCAGTGAGCCTTACCAGATTTAACTTGATTTGCTCTGAAACCATTGAAAACCAGGGACTTGTAGATATAAAATTGAGAATCACAGCACCAACTGTTAAAGGATATGGAGCAACTGGAATTCTCCTACATGGCTAATGGGAGTGTAAAATGATATAGCCTTGTGATAGCTTTCCAAAGCTGTGACAGAACATCTGAGAAAATCAGCTCAAAAGGACAAAGGTTACTTTGCCTTACACTTTCTGTCCATGGTCAACCAGATCCACTGCTTTTGGACCTGTACAGAGGCAGAATATCATGGCCTCAAGAGTGTGGTAGTAAAGCTGCTCACCTTGTGGTATCTCAGAACAGTAGTAGAGAAAGGTGCCAGGCTCCCAATATCCCCTCAAAGGTACATCCCCAGTGATCTAACTTCCATCAGTTAGAACCCTCCCTACAAGTTTCACCAGCTCCCAACAGTACTATTGGCTGGAGACCAAGCCTTTAAAACAGACTTTAGTGGACATTTAAGATCTAGGACAGGGGCTGGGGTTGTGGCTCAGCAGTAGAGTGCTCACCTAGCACATGCAGGGTGGTGGGTTCGATCCTCAGCACCACATAAAAATAAAATAAGGGTATTATGTCCAACTAAAACTAAAAAAAACCCCTCAAAATATTTAAAAAAAATATCTAGGACATAACATTATGTTCCCAGCCCCTAAAATTTTACTATTCCAACACTGCTCAAAAGTCCAAGTCCAGATTCTCCTCTGAGACTCAGGGAAAACTCTCAGCTCTGAACTTCTGTAAATGTCAAAAGAAAAATTGTAAGATGCAGTGGCACAAGGTAAACATTCCAAGATGTAGGAACACAGAAATAATAAGGACCAAAACAAAACCCAGCAATGCCAACATAAAATCTTGCTGGTGAAATGTGAACCCCCACAGATTTGGGTAGACAAGCCTTTCTTTCTTTCTTTTTCTTTTTTTTTAAAATATATTTTTTAGTTGTAGATGGACATAATACCTTTATTTTATTTATTTTTATATGGTGCTGAGGATCAAACCCAGTGCCTCACACATGCTAGGCAAGCACTGTACCATTGAGTCACAGGCCCAGTCCCAATAGCTTCTTTCTTAAACTGGCTTGGCTTACTGCCTCCAGCTTCCCTCAAGATGTTTTATGTTCTGAGATCTCCAAAGTGGCTTCACCACCACACATTACCCATCAGGGACTGCTCACAGGGATTCCAATCTTTCCACACTCCGGTCTTCAAAGTTTTTCCTTTGAAATGTCAGTGGGAGTCACCATAACCCTATAACTTTCACATTCTGTATGCCTATAAAATCAGCACTCTATATATGGTGCCAAGGTCGGCCACCTGTATGAGCTGAACTAGGACCCTCATGGTCCACAGATGCGGTGACATCTGAATGCCTTGATGGCTGAACACAGGGAAGTGAATCCTGGGCAAATAATTCCCTAGGCAGCCCGGTACAAGCAGGACGCCCTTCTCAAATGAAAGGTTTATACTTGCACACTTTTGAGCATGCCGTGGGCGGGGTGTTACCCACTCCTGAGATGCCCCCAAGAAAACTTTCCTATTGTTTCAGTGCAAGAACATGACTTTTTTGTTTTTTAATTGTGCTAATCTCTCTAAAGTTTCCAAGGAAGGTACTCTTATTAAACAGACTCCTTTTCTGGCCAAACACCAGGTATTTTAAATCTTTCCCGTGGGCTTGTTATTCCTGATTATCATGCAAATATGGATAAAAAAAAGCCAGCAATACCCTGGCTTGAATGCTGTGCTATTTTGAAATCTCCTCTACCAGATAAATCAGTCCATCTCATTTAAACTAAGCTTCAAAGTCTCCGGGCATGGATAAAATGCAGAAAACTTGTTTGCCAGAGTACTGCAGAAGTAGCCTCTCAAACTCTTTCTAACATGAACATATCAACACAGCCTTTACCGTCCATATTTCTATCAGCATTCTGGCCTTCTGGGCCCCTACCAGAATCGCCTATTAAAGCTCCATTCACAGAATTCTAGGCTTTCTCTCATCCTCATGTCCAAATTTTTCCAAATTCCTTCTTCAAACCAATTCAAAAGGTTTCTGAATCACATTGTCAGGTATGGTCACGGCACTGATACCCCTTGTTGGTACCAGTCAGCTTTCCGTCCCTGTGATAAAACACCTGAGAAAATCAGCTTAAAGAAATTTGGGGATTTTTCAGTCCATGGGTGGCTAGATTCATTGTTTTGCAGCTTGCAGAGACAGAAAATATCATGGTGAGGAGCACTTGATGAATCAAAACTGCTTATCATGTAGTAACTGGAAAGCATATAAGGGAGAAAAAGCAGGGTGGAGGTGGAGATAGGTCTAGTCCCTAGATCACCTTCAAGGGTGTACCCCAAATGACATTTCTTCCACTAGGCTCCAACTCTTACAGGTTTCAATGCCTTCCAATAGCACCATCATCAGCTAGGGACCAAGCCTGGAACACAGGAGACTTCTGGGGGACACTTAAGATTCAAACCATAATAAGGCACTTCAAGAAA